TTGGTTTGTGCAGTAAATGAGCCAGAGGCATTAAAGAGAAGTAAAGAAATGAAGAAAAAAATAATTGGTGCCACCTTTGTGCTGCAAAGCCTTTCCTTTATGAATCCTGATAATCACAAACACAGTATCCTTCCCCAGCCATCTCAGCCCAGTTCCTTGGGAACGAAGCAGGATTCTCTATTTCCTTCACACTGTAACATTCCATTTCCTATGCATGGAAACCGACATATACTGTACATTAATTAATACTTAAGCTGTTTGCAAGTGTAATTGCGTTGTAAAACATATCTGGATTAAAACATAAAATAATACTATTAGATAATACTTCAGCTTCAGTACTTCAGTAATGATTACAGTCTAAAATTAAAACATTTCACCCCTTAGACTGCCAAGCAAGCAGTGTATATTTTACAGATACTATATTCAAGACCTGCTTTCACCTGCAAAAAAAAAAAAACAGTGACACTGTTTGAACTCCACTTGAAACACTGGATTTCCACAGCACTAATGAATTTGATTAAACACACTCTTCAGTTCTGTCACTCTCTTGTCAACATAAATCAAATCTGTAACAAAAGCATGCTGACATCATTAACACTCTCTGGGCAGAGAAAGGAAATGTGACTCTGCAGGCATTTTTTCCCCTATCCATTCTAGTTTTCCGAATTAAGCAGGACAAGGTGTATATTTCTTACTTCACAACCTCTAAACAAATTAAAACAGGGGCTTGAATTATTAGATATGTTTTTCTTTTTAATAGGGTGGGTTAAATCTCACCGTTAAATTGCAGCGAGACATTTTGTATAAAGTGGTGAAATCCCTTTGCACAAATCTGCAGTCGTGTAATGTAATCTTTCATTTGGAGCTCTTGAATAGACAGTCTCTTGAGGTCCTTTTCTTTCAGTTATTAATGGTACCCTAAGTCACTCCATCTGGGATACAGCAGCATGACGTGAGCGAATTCACTGCTTTAACCCGGTTCGAAGTACAAAGGCACAAAACACATAAATGACTTCCCCTGAGTGTAAAAACACGTCTTGAAAATAAATCCGCAGCTGTACTAAGAAATTAAACCAAGACTCAAAGTGTCCCTGACCTCCAGTTTTACTGACAAATATAGGAAAGAAAGAAAAATGAGATAGAAGAGGCAACTACTGTACGTAGGAGAGTATCTCTTCCCACCCTATTAGCATACTTGACAACTTGGAACGCCACACGGATGAAAGCAGAAGTAGACTCTGTTTTCACAGAACCAGGATTCAATTGCCTCAAAATGCTTTTGAGACAGCAGAATGTGTGTGCGATAGCCTTCTTACTTTTAGTTCAAGGTAGAGAGGGATCTTGTACTGGGTGAAATGTTAGCCTTTTCTTATTTGAAACTTTTTTTCGTACTGCTGCACCAAAACAAAAATTGAACCAATGGTCCAGCTCCTAAATATTTAAAGGTGTTTCTTTTCTTAAGGTGCCCTAAGGGTTTGAGAATAAAACACTTTGTTTATCAGCAGAAGTTTAACAAGACAAACTGGTTACCTTCACTATTTGTCTTTTTTAAATAAGTTCAGTCACGTTGTGTTTTAACTTGGGAAAGAAAAAAAACATTGCCAGTCTTTAACAAAATGTTTTTTAGACCTTTCAGACATGAAATACACTCTTGTGTGCTTAAAGTATATTATTACTACAATCCGTCCATTATCAGGAAGCCAGATGTGTGTTATACATATGTTTTGATATATTGTATTTTGATACCCATTTTGATTTGGAGCATTGAAGGCATTCACACTTCATGAAATATAGCTGACAATGTGATGAAGAGATTCGAGTACAGCTTAAGAGTTGTAAATTACTCCACAGTACTCCATAAACTCAGTTAAAAAATATTTTGACCTGCAGTATTGCGATACGTATTTTACAATTCACTGAATACTTCTTCATACCTTGCAAGAGGTCAATGGAACCCCTGTTTCGATCCATACCATCTTATAATAAATACTTAATCATAAAGAAAAGAGTCGCTTCTTCAAGACGCCTGCAACAAGGTTCGTTAGCTACTGTGACATTTTCTCCTAAACATTTCTCTGCAGACACTAGCAATCGTTTTAGTTACTATTAAGGATTGACCAAGACATCTGAGGTGTGCAGTTCAAACTGGCATTTCCGGACTGGTCTGTGTATAGTAACAACTCATGATTATTCCATCATCTATTCTCTGACCACTTTTTCCGATTCAGGATCGCGGAGGAGCCAGAGTCTGTCATGAAAGGCACAAGGCAGGGTACACCCTGGATGGGACACCAGTCCATCACAGGGAACACACAGACACGTACAGTACCTGTAGACACCCACACACACACACACACCAGAGCCAACATCTTTGGCCTGTGGGAAGAAACTAGAGGAATCAGAGGAAACCCAAGGGAACATAAAGAGAACACACAAGCTGCATGCTCCACCCATGATTATTCAAAGCAATCCAAATCCACCGGACTTCAGGCTTTGGGGGGAAATTGCTAAGGAAAGACTGTGAGCTGAACTGTATTCCACAGAAATTCTTAAAGCAGTACTTACGGTAAGTCAGTGTTCCTTTTCAATATTGTCTTTTTTGGCACTGATGGAATTGGATGTGTATTTGGGACAACAGCCTCCAAGTTTTGCAGAGGTCCGCCGTTACGGAAGAAAACATGGGTGTTAAAATGAAACAGGATCTCAAAGTGAAATTTGCAGCTCTTCCCTACAGTGGGAACAATTCGCCTTCTGCAGATTCAATTAACCGCAGCTTGGCCCAAAAATGAATTCCCCGATCACCGTCAAAGGTGAACATTTTCAAGACAAGAGCTTGCGCTCAAGCCTTTGCAAACCCCCGAGTTGAAAAGGAGCACCCATTTAATATTCTGCTCCTTCAAGAGTAGGGGGAAGTAAACCGACTCTGGCATCATAATGGTTGCGCTATCTCACAGTAAATACCCGTGGCTACAACGCAAGAGGAAGTTGATGAAAGCTAGTTCTCTTAAAGTCGAGAGACCGTATTTTCTATTTTCCTTTTTTCTCTAGTCATTCCTTTTGATCCTCATTCTACAACCTGCCGCCCTATCCCTGAACCGATGTTGTCCTTTAATTGGATTTCTTTTCATTCCCCATTAAGCAAAGATTATTGCATTCCAGATATCAAATCCTCCCTCACTTGACAGTCAGACAGATCGCAACCCTTGATTGGGTAAAGACGGCTTATGACTTTTGGAACAGATAATGCGACTCACGTGTCCTAATGCCCAGGGCTTTTTAATGCACAGGTGACAGCGTCGTTCAGAGGGCTGTGTTACTGGTAACTATTTTTAGTTTGAAGAGGAAACAAAGCACATTTTAGCAAAAAAATAAAAGGGCATTTGCAACAAAATCTGACAGCGTTTTTTTTTAACAACACATTAGTCCTGTACTTAAGTGCAAGCTATTTTAAGATTATACGTTTTAAATATATGAAAGGAGTTTTTTTTTTTTGCTTGAGCGTTAAGTGCCAAACGTATCTCACCCATAGAGGCAACGTTTAGTAAGCCAGCAGCATAAAAAAAAACAATGTTTAAAACAAACTTAATAAAATATAGTTTTATACCTCATCGAAAGCATCAACAAATGAATAGTTCTTTTTCTTATTGTGCATTAATCCATTGTTTTGTAGAAACGTATGTCATGGACAGCAAGAATTCGAAATAGTATAATTCGGGGTAGTTTTTTATATTAAATCATCTAAATATAATAGAAGACAATATTTTAGGCAAGGAAAAATTGCACGGTGGTATTAATTCCCTGTTCGCTGTAGGCACGGTCTCTTACGTGGCTTATAAAACGGGGGAAAAGGCCAAATTATATAAAGCTGGCGAGGCTGACGCGTGGCGCACAAACCGCGAGTGGCAGTTCCGCGCAGGGGGTGAGCGTGAAGCCGGCACGTGCATCTTTGATTGCTAAACAAATACGGGCTTTAATTCTTGAGATCTGCACATTCTGCTCAGTCATTCGAGCATATGAAGGGAGCGCCTTATAATGATACTGTGTGCACATACAGTACACCTGCTCCAAGCGCGCTACTGTACTGTACATACGAAATGCCTTTCCGCTCCGGCTTGATTCAATATCTGGCGAGCAGACGTGGAAATTGAAAACCCATCCATCACCCAGGGTCCCCACTAAGCACTCGGTAGTAGGAAGGGTTCCGACCCTGAACATCACGTCTTTCACTTCTCATAGGGAATGTAACTTGTGTTACATACGGAATAATGCAGCCCTTAAAGCGAAAAAAACAAATCCTCGGATTCATTTACTAATCGCTTAGAGCCTTCCTGTGTACCTTACACAGTGCACACTGGGTGGCTATTCAGTTTAAAACGGGCAATCATTGCTAGATTCTTATGACAGCAAAAGTGCTTTGTGTATAATTGCCTTTGGATGTTACAGTTGTTTCATTGCAGCGTCTCCCTTTGTCAATTATCAAGACTTTGCAAAGGCATCAGCAACTGATGCCGACTGAAACGTCAACACAAGCGAAGGTGTCAGTCCGGGGGCTGCATTCATTTTCCAGAAGCCACATCGCACGCTGGTGTCCGGAATTATATTACGGTAGACCGAAACACCACTCGTGTACTTGTGTATGTTTCGTTTGCACTAAAACCACCACGATCTTCGTCGGTCCGTTTTGCCGTTCACGGAATCGCATATCACGTTTCTTTGTTTTTCCTCAGACCAGTTTCGGTTGTCGCTCACGACGTGCGCCGTGATGTATGAACCCTTCATCCAGTATTGCACCATGCGAATGTACTGTGAATACAAAGGCACGCTACACATTTCACGATCCGAGGCGAAGTATTCGATCCCGAACAGCCAAAAATATGAACGAGCTGATGAAACACCAGACGTCGGTCAGCGCTTGTACAGTCCGCGCAGCAAAAGAATGAACCACAAGCGAAGAGAAAATAACGTAACAAAACAAGCGCAGGAAACAGAGATGGTCTTACCTCTAACAGCTTGGTCAACCACAGAGCATGTGAGCAGCAGGAATGCGGCTAATCCTGAAAAAGTGTCCGGGTCGCCTCTTGGCTAAGCTTTCTAAGAGACGTGCTGTATTTACACAGTAGGGAGACGTCTAGTGAGTGTGGACGGTGGTGAGACACATTCCGATCGCTACTGCCTGTACCTGAGAGTGATGCTGCAGAGCACCAAACGTCTCGAAAGATGAGAGGAAACTACACAGAAGAAGGCAAGACGCCTCGAAGACCCGGCACGGAAACTGGCTTCTGGAAGACGACGTGTCGTGCTCTTGTGTGTTACTCTGGCGACTCGCTGACCAATTATTCACCGCGATAAATACAATTAGGGCTTTAGCTCTTCACTGTACTCCACCTGTCGTGCAAAAAATGTAATGTATGCCACTTTATTTGAATTTGAAAATCGAAGGTAAAGGATTTGCCTACACGTTTATTGTTTTTTCATCGTTTATTTGTCTCTCATCTGTGCAGCATACAGTATGATACAGTATGATTATAGGGAGAAGATACAGTACATAGACATTATAAGGTAAAGGTATAAACTTTAAGAAGCAGCACTTTTAATTTAACTAAACTTTTCTAATGAAATTAGATCCTGGGATTTATGTAAATGTATGTATTATTTATTACTCCCCTGACCGACTAGTAATAACATAACATTTTATTGGGTCCTATATTGAAACAGGCTTTCTTAAGACTACAGTACATTGGCTATTGTCAACAGCAATAAAGCAAGTTTAATAATAACCATAACAACAGGGGTGGCAAGGTTGGCATTAGAAACCGTCTGTCCAGCCTCAATTTCAGTTTATTTTAAAACACTCTTTTATAAGCATTTGTCCAGTAGAATGAGAAAGTGGATTATGCAACTAAACAAAAGAAAAGTCCCTGGTCCATTACAAGACGACAGAGAAAATTGTATTCTGATGGATTGGATGGAGAGTGGCACAGTGGTGCAGTGGGTAGCTTGCAGTGCTGAGGGCTGGGCTCTATCCTGAACATGAGTGCTGTCTGTGTGGAGTCTGCATGTTCTCCCCAGGTTCACATGGGTTTCCTCCTGGTGCTCCAACTTCCCCCCATGGTCCAAAGACATGCTGGTAGGATAATTGGGTTCTGGGAAGATTGGCCCTGGGACGAGTGTGTTTGTGTCTGCATGTCTGCCCTGTGATGGACTGGTGTCCCATCCAGGGTGTATCCTGCCTTGAGGATTCTTCCCAGGATAGGTTCTGGGTCACTGTGACCGCGAGCTGGATAAGCAGTTATTTAAAGTGATGTGGTGATGTGTTGTGAATAATAATATTATTTTAGGAATTAGCATTACTTGTGTACCACAGTTGTCGTTTTCAGAGCACCTCTCATTTACAGTGTCTGCTTCAATGACTTATTACTTGAATTTAATTAAATACATTGGAAAATTGATATTTGCTTTGAGTATCAGTTCTTGTCGGTGTAATCCAGTACACTCATTAACTCTTACTCAACTAGACAGCAAGTTCACTAAACCCTTTTGACATATCTTTCTCTTTCTGAGGGTTTCACAGGTATCTGATCTACTTCCAAACACATAATCTAGTTTCCCATGAGCTTATCAAAACAGATGTCTAATGTGTATCAGCCATCCATCAAACTGATTTAACAAGGCCCTTTGCTGCCCTATTGAGTAGCACAAGACTGCAGCCGAGAATTTAAAACCCATCTCAGAATGCAATTTTATAATGGTGTAAATCCTACTGTCAAATGCAAGAGATTTCTAAACAGCCATTGCTGCACCTTCAAATCCATCACAT